CTGTAAAACCTAATAAAAGTGGGTGTCACCCCGCTCCACGTGTACCAAGCCTACGCCTTGTTTATTTTACTTAAAATGTAGCGTATTCATGTAGTGGTGTAGAAAATACACATGGGTGAATTGGCCATATACAGTACATACAAACAGTGTGGGTCATGTAAGGTCGGGCAGGTGATGAAGTCATGGGTGGCGTAAACAAGCCAAAGTAATTAAGGGAGTCAAGGGACGAGGGCTGTGATTGGTCGAGAGGCTGTTAGCGTTAAGTGGCGGCGTCACGGAGTCTGGGCCGTTGGATAGGTGCGGAGCTGGCGGGAAAATGCCAGCGAGGCACGTGGCAATTAAGGCTGATTGGAAAAGGGATAAAAACGCTAGGTGATTTGGTCGGCGAGGGAGTTGGCGAGAATTGGAGACAGCAGCGGGTAGAGAGAGATGCGAAGAGTGGAAGCCGGTAAGTGTTAGTGGGAAATAGATTGAGAGCCGAACCCAGAGGACAATAAATAGCGATAGCGAGAGTTAGCGTTAGCAGAGTGGAGATTACGGTATAGGTAGGTGCAGGGAGAGTTAGCGATAGACAAGTCACTGTGTAAATTTTGATTTAAAGCTTTCGTGACTGCAGTAATTCATATTATTAGTTTTTTCGGTAAAGTCACATTGAAGAGAAACAACAAAATAACAAAATATATATAAAACAATAAAAAATTCTCACGACGTTTCGACCATAACTCAAACGGTCATCATCAGGTGTGTTGGTTTGCATACATTTATTTTTAAACGGCACATTTATTTATTTAAAAAATTTCGTCTCCCCCCTCCTCTTTTAAAAAAAAAAATAGATGGACTAGTCCTGGGCAAACTGCCAATCGCTGCGCGTGACGCCAACGTTTTTTTAATAAATAAATAAATGTGCCGTTTAAAAATAAATTTATGCAAACCAACACACCTGATGATGACCGTTTGAGTTATGGTCGAAACGTCGTGAGAATTTTTTATTGTTTTATATATATTTTGTTATTTTGTTGTTTCTCTTCAACGTGACTTTACCGAAAAAACTAAGAATATGAATAAGTCACTGTGTGTGACGAGATAGACAAGTCACTGTGTGTGAAGAGACAGACAAGTCACTGTATGTGACGAGATAGACAAGTCACTGTGTGTGAAGAGACAGACAGAGTCACTGCGTGTGAAGAGATAGACGAGTCACTGTGTGTGAGGAGATAGACAGAGTCACTGTGTGTGACGAGATAGAGATAGAACCACTGTGTGTGCGGTGAGAGAAGAAGAGACTGTGTGGGGAGACAAGGAATATGAGCGGACGGTGCTGAGGGGAATTCGAGTGTTCGAGTTGGCGCAGTGCGGAGAGGAGAAATTATATAGTGTGTGTGTGTGAAATTATATATAGTGTGTGTGTGTGCAGAACGATGGAAATAAAAGTGACGGTGGAAGAGAGGCGATTGTCGTCCGAGTGAATCCAAGGCACTACATTCACATAAAACTTGTAAAATGCACCAATTCCGTTATGAACGCTTTGTCATGGAATTTATTGGGCCAACATTTTTGGTCAACAGTGCCACAAAGTGTTCCATTGGTCCGTTTATTACATCGCGTTTCTGAAAACGTATTTATTGACAGAATTGTCAGGACAGATCATCAGGAAAACATTGTTAAGAAACATTTAATTTACATGCGTTCACAGCGCAGGATTGTGATGAGGGTTCAAGCAACTAAAAAGTTTATGGCCCCAAACAGCTCGAGGGGTCCTGGATGCATCATGGAAAAAAAATTACAGCAGAGCTGTGCCAAATATCTCAATTCGCATCCTGATAGCAATTCAAAAGCTCACCATTACAATGGCAGCCTTTGTTTCGTGCAAATTTGTACTATTCTGTAAACTGAGTTAATATTAATTTAAATGTATAAAGCGCACCTTAATCAATCGTTCTCAGGGCGCTATGCATGGGAAGTTGGAAAACAGTTTAACGTCAACCAAGGAAAAGAAGTGAGAAAGATGTTTCAAAATAACCAAATCGTTTTTAGCCCAAATTTGAAGATTTTTGTCTAGGAAGTCCTGACCTCAAAGGGGCAACGAGTTCCAGAGTTTAGGTGCCGCAATTGCCAAGGCACCGTCACCACCCAAGTGTGACGCCTAGACCGTGGGACAATGAGCAATGCACAGTCTGAGAATTTGAATGATCTTGATTAAATGTCTGAAGGAGGTCCTGAATGTGGGGAGGAGAAAGTCAATTTCAACTGCTCCGCTTGTAGTCACGTGATGCACCCAAAAGAAATGTGTCCGCTTAGGGCCCCCAATGGACCCGCACCGCCGCTGCCCATTCCACATTCTCAGTATCGTGGTGTGCTCCGGTGTGGGTAGCTTGTAGGGAGCATCGCAACATGCAGGCACACCGGCGTCAGCAAGCAGCAAGCTTCCTAGGTTGAAGCTTAGGGTTAGTACAGTTGCAACACCACAGAGGCTATCAGATGTTTACTCCCTCGCCTGGTATACGGGAGGTCATGGGTTCGATCCCGACGCTGACGCCTGCTGTATATTTGGAGTTTGTACATTCTCCCCGTGGTCGCTTGGATTTTTGTCCGGTTTTTCCCTCCACATTTAAATTCTGGCGTTTAGAGTATTTGACTTCTATCAATTTCCGCGTGATAAGCCACTTTGTTGTTGAGCTATCATTTATGGCCAGGTCGCTTCTAAAAATGAGTTCTAATAATAGTTCAGTGAGGCCTTACCTGGTGAAATCATTTAGCTTTTAGAGTTTAGTTAGTTAATAGGGCAGACGAGACATCATCCCAGCGTCGCCACGACGCTTCTGAAAACGCTTCTCCTCGTCTACGTTGGGCTGTGGGACAAATTCGCACTCGACTTGTCCGGGCGTATTGTCTGGACAATGTGCATTGTTGATTGACGTATTAAATCTGCAACACTCTTAAAAAGGATTTGACGAGGCACTCTCTCCTCATTATCTCAAATGCCCCTTTGTTTTGGCGCCTCGAGATGTTCTTCAGAGGAAGCCTAGGCGTATGAAGAATACATTATGATGATGATCATGATGTATGATGATAATGGCCCCATCGCCATCATCATCACGATAGTTATAAGAACTTGGGAACATAGATGATGGGAGGCGATTACAAAACTGAGCAGTGTGAGTGTAGAAGTGCCAAGAGAAGTGCTGTGACCTACAGGAACGGTGATTGGAATATGATGTCCCTAACTTGCGTTTGCTCTCCGATCCTTGCATTGCTCTCTCCGTGTAGATCTAAATTCCCATAATTATAGGTACAAACAACAACAAACAACAACTCAAAATCGTTCACCAATAATGCCGCCGTAAAAAAAGAGCAAAAAATATGGCCAGTGATGTTTCGGGCAATAGCCCTTCTTCATTGATTGATGTGTTATGAAGAAATTTCGCCAATGATATATTCGTCATAAAGTTAGCGGCGTTATTGAGGAACAAAGACGGCCACTGCATCGCACGCTTTCAGATGGGCTTCGCCGGCCGTCTGGAACGCTCTTCCTTGCGACATTACTCATTATCTTTAGAACTGCCCCCCCCCCGCCTCAGCTTGGTTGCCTACGTACATTGCGAAAGAAGATCAACAGACATACTGTCACAACGCAGCAGCATCAACCACTAAATAATTTGTCAAATTCCGTACGGCGCAGCACCGGACAGAGAGTGCGCGCTCGTAACGCACCGATGGAGGCGGTAACGGGTGGCGAAGTGAGTGGGCCAAACGGGATCGGGCAGACGTTGGCATGACGCGTGAGTCACGGGAAATTACAACCCGAGCTGTCAGACCGCACGGGGCTTCTCAGGGCGAAGTGGGTGCTGAATGGCGTCTGAATGGCGCAAGATATAGATGTGCCATGAGAGATGTGAGCACCCGCGCTCCTAGCCCAACAACACGTACAACCTGCCGATCGACTTAACTGTGGTTGTACTGGGGCTAAACGATGAATCGATTTCAAATCGCAATTTGAAACAATGCCGTTAGCAAATCGCAAAGGCTGCCATTGTTTGCGATTTCAAAAGTCCTATTGCTTTCTTATTGGAATTGGTTATTATAACTTTATTTATTTAACTTAACAATTGTTCTATGCTTGATTGTTCTATTTCAGTTCAAACATTTTAATAAATACATGTTGGAAGCAATTAATATATTTTAAGTTCTCATCCTTGCATTAGAATATATAGAGCAGTTCGTATTTTGATGGTATCAAGTTGTAATGCTCCATCCATCACATGTTTTAAATCTATTACACAGTGAATATTGAACTGAAGCTTGACTTAAACATGTTTTATCGCAAATCAAATCGCAATCGCAATATCTGTCAGAAAAATCGCAATTAGATATTTTCCCCAAATCGCTCAGCCCTAGGTTGTACCCATCTCTACTCCTGGTGAGCAGAGACAAAGAGGAATTCACAAACTTGCATTGCTTTAACTGCTGCACCGCAAGATGGACTCGAACTGGGCACGCTCTGGATTGCAAGATCCCTGTGCTAACCATGAAACCACATCAGCTTCACTTTATTGGCCGACTGAGAACGGCTGGAATTCATTTGTATTTAACACACAGCCTTACACCCATGATCCGGCATATGCTTGTTATTAAATAACGGATCTGGAGAGAAGAAACAATGAATGAGTGTAAGTGGAATTCGAAGGCACGGTTGCAAACATCACAACAGGGCGATTGTTTGTGCTGCAGCAGCAACAGCAGTTTCTCGCTTGGATCATAGCGCATTTATTGAACTCCTGTATGGAAAC